CGTTTCCCAAAATTATTTTCATGTAAAAAACTTTTGAACTTTAACTTTAAATATTTACATAAATTTTGTTTTTTTTCTGAATTTAAAGCATAAAAATGAAAGGTTATTATGTAATTCTCTTTATATAATATTCTTTCAGTGAATTTGTTTTCAGTGTATCACATTTGGTTGGCAAAAAGGAACAACGCAAACATAATAATAGTAGGTGAACACCATGTTTGAACTACCGTAACCAAGAGGCCGAACTGTCAGTCAACAACTTTAGCTGTAACGACAAAAGAAAAAAAAATATTGCAACAACAGACTCATAAATGTGAACACAAAAAATGCTAAACGAATTATAACAGAAATGTCTATAAACAAAAGTGTCAACGACTTTAAGTCAAACACAAGACAGACAACATACCCATATACAATATATGGCATATATTTATAGAGAAACATATTCATGTAAAGTTCAAATGAAAGAAGGTAAAAATTACATTTAACACTACACTCTAATAGTTGGTATTTGAGCAAACCAATGTATGTTTAATGTCCCCAAGGGATCACAGTGGCCCCCGGAACGACCTCACTTTGTGTTAATTGAAGAAATTTGTAATTTACTGTGGATGGTATGATTAATTATGATAAATTTTGAATTGTTAGTGAAATTTTCTCGTACGCGTGCTAGGGTGGTTCAATTTATGTGAACATGTTTTTGGAAGATAGAGTTTTTATATAAAATATATAAAATTTTAATAAGATGCAAAATTTAATTAATCGGCACATCCACTCTGGTCTTTAGAGACATTCAACAAGTTTTTAAAACATAATTTTAATATTTTTACCCTCCAAACCACTTTTGAGAGTCATTTTGTCCTTTGTTTCAAAAAAATCCCTAGTCCACATTAAATATGCCATGAAATATTTCAGAAAATTTGACTGAGAGTCGTCATAGCTCAGAATTTAAAAGAAGAAAATTTAAGAAATTAAATTTTCGGAATATTTTAATCCGCTAAGCCATCGTGATCCGCACTTTGACGTCTACCTCAAAAAATCTTCCAAAGCATTTAATGAAAGAATTGTTAACAAGTAAGGAAGGGCTAAGTTCGGATGTAACCGAACATTTTATACTCTCGCAAAGTCAAATGGTATACTCGTTTGAGATTTCTTTGTGGATTGACTGATATTTTCGGTAGAAGGTCAACTATAGGCACTGGGGTCCACATATTCAGTACCTAGGGGCTTGAACAGTTTTGGTTCGATTTAGAAAATTTTTGGTCACAAGGTGGCATACTTTAAACGTATTATTCACGCAAAGTTTTACGCCGATATAATCATTGTTGCTTGATATGCATAGTGGAAAGTGAAAGAATCAAGTGGTATTTAAAATGGTGTCATATGGAAAATAAGCGTGGTTGTAATCCGATTTCGCCCATTTTCGCACTATGACATAGAAACATAAAAAGAACGTTACGCACCGAATTTGGTTGAAATCGGTTAAGCAGATCTCAAGATATGGGTTTTCACCTAAAAGTGGGCTGTGCCACGCTCACTGTCTAATTTTGAACGCGGTTCCTATAAAGTCATCTAATACCATCCCAGAGATAAAATTTAATGTCTCTGGCGTGTTTAGGGCTTGATTTATCGCGCTTTTAGTAGTTTTTAACAGTACCGTTATACGGGTAGTGGGCGGAGTTGCCACCCGATTTCAACTATTTTCACACTGTCAATAGAAGTGCTAAAAACATTTGCTTCCAGTGAATTTTGTTATTATAGCATTAGCGGTTTAGGAGATATGCACCATTAAACCTATTAGAGGCGGGACCACGCCCACTTTTTAAAAGAAAATTTTAACTGCAGATGCCCCTCCCTAATTTGATCCTGTGTACCAAATAACAGTCTTGTATCTTATTGCGGAGCTTAGTTATGGCAAGTTATTTGTTTTTGATTAATGGCGTTTTGTGGGCGTGGCAGTGGTCCGATTACGCCCATCTGCAATACCAACCGTCTCACGGTACCATGAAACATGTCTACCAAGTTTCATAAAGATATCTCAATTTTTACTCAAGTTAGAGCTTGCACGGACGGACGGACGGACAGACGGACAGACAGTCACCCGGATTTCAACTCGTCTCTTCATCCTGATCATTTATATATATATAACCCTATATCTAACTCGATTAATTTTAGGTGATACAAACAACCGTTAGGTGAACAAAACTATTATACTCTGTAGCAACAGGTTGCGAGAGTATAAAAATTAACCGCATGCAATAAAATAGTTTCAAAACAATTTTACTGGGAGTCGCCGAAGCCAAGAATTCTTTAAGGGTCTAAAATCACTGTTTGAAAATGAATTTAAATAAGTGTGTTTGAGAAACCCATTTCTGCTCAGATTGTGGTATTACATTTACTTTAACCTCTTTCATATTTTTTGAACATATCTCTATATTTGAGCCCCCACATCGACTTCTTTTAAACTAACCCCAAGCACGTAAAAGCAGAAAATAGTGCTATATTAAATATTTTTTTAAAAAGTTTGTATACTTGGGAACTCTAAAACATTGACCGAAGTAAAGGGAAAATTGATGAGAAAAGTTGGTTCTTTCAGTAGGTTTCTGATCAATTTTCATAGATTACACTTGATAAAAACCGACACTGCCTTTTTTTAAAGTATACTGTTATAAATAATTACATAATAATTTTCCTCCATTCATTTACACACATTTATCACAATTACGTTTTTTAGGACAAAAGCAAAGAAAGACACACACCCATCAATATTTACATGCAATATTCAGGGGAAAAGAGGCTCAAACAATACAGATTATAATATGGGCTTAAATGAAGACTGTGATAACACCGTGGTATCAAATGACAAGTACATATTATATGCTTGTTTTTGTTTTGTGACATATGAAAGTGGGTCTGAGAAGGGTCTGACAGTGAGCAATGTGCATAAATACTTATAAGATAAATGCAACGAGAAATAGTGTAAAAAGTGTTGAACCGACACACATAAGCCAGCAGGAAAGGGCTCCGTGGGCAGCGTTGCGAAACGGTCGCTTAACCTTTTGGTCAACACTTGGATTTGAATATGATTTTGCTTTAAATGGTTTTTTATTTTCTATGCAAAAATCAAAATAAATTGCAATAAAAGCAACGTTCCACTTTATTCAGTGATTTTCTAACAAGCCAACTTGAAGGGTGGCACAGCTCTCCCACCACACATCGTGGATGACTTGAGAAACGAGCTATAATATATACGAGTATACATATGTATATATACTTCTTCGAGTTTGTTGATTCGCCTGTTGGCCGCTGCATATCTGTGCAGTGACCATATCATAGGTGGTGTTGCCATAAATCAAAGCGGGCGCATTTAACACTTGACAGAAGTGGAGCGCAGAGTTAAGTTAGGTCCAAAAGCCGCGGCCATAGACTTTTATTACACACTGTTTGTTATATGCAACCAAGAGAGTGCTACGCGAATATTTAATCAACCCTGTGTTCGTCTAAAGTCGCAAAGTAAATATCATTTAAGATTTGGTAACGAGTTCCAAACAAAATTGAAAAGAGTTTAAATAAAATTAGTTGACCCTGCGAACTTCGTACCGTCCATATTGGAATAAATTTATTAGTTAATATTCTACACGCTTATATACTCAATTATATGGTATATATATACTTTTCTTATAAATTTTCGTATTTCTATGGTAATGACTTGTAAAGTTGTTGTTGTTTTCCGTTTGGAGAAAAAACATTTAGGGCCGATGATTTGCCGACTCCTGAGAATCAACGTACAACTGATCATACGAAAAAATATGGCAACTCAAGATTTATTACACACACTTCTAATGATTGGCCTTGAGATTTATTAATTGTTATTGCGAATGTCGAACAGGAACATTGTACAAGTTTTAATTCAAAAGGAAAGTGAGTTGGCAGTAGTGGTATTCTTGGAATAAGCACATCTTTGCCCTTGAACTTTCCTATGATTATAGTCGTTTCAATTAAATTTTTCATAATTTTTTATCAGCTAGACTTGTTCCATTACACAGTTTTGGTTGATTCAGTTGCGTAACATAATTATCACAGAGCCAACCTTTAACTGCAACTGGTAATCCTGGCGAATCCAATGAATTAAGTAATTCAATCGGATAATTGACTACTTCATTTGTATCTATTGACTTAAATGAATGTATTTGTCCATCAATTTTACTTTGAATGTTTATATTCAAATCATCTACATCCTAATTTTTTGCTGCTAAAGTGTCTCGTTTGCTCAACCCAGCATGATTTTTACATTTCACACCATTATTTGGGAGCATTTTTAATATTAATACTTCCTTTAAATTTGTGAATTGACAAAAATTTGGTGGAAATGAAATAAGGTCAGTAGAAGCTTCAACAAGAATTCTACCATAACCAATGTCTACTAATGCATTTGAAAACACTCCTGTCGATATCTTATTTTGCAACTCCACTCGCATATCGGTTGTTAATTTGAGTTATTTTACTTATATCTATAAATATGATGCCTTCAGGCAAGCATTTATTTCATCAGCAGCAGTTGATCTGGGAATGACTGGCAGCGTTTGGCGAAAATCCTCAGACAATAGATTCATCGCGCCTCCGAAGCGTAAATCTTTTTATATTCGATCAAGTGCTCGGTTGTGAGACATCGTACACTCCATCCCAGATAATTAATTTACAATTTTGTAGCACTTTTGCCATTGCCGACGTTTTGTTTATATTATGGTATATATTGGTTTATATATTGTTTGCAACTTTAATGGTAGATTAAGCGCAGAATGAGCAGTACGTCCACCTTCTAACAATGTAGCAGCAATCCCGGATGAAGCGAGTGCCAGTGGTATTTGACCTTGAGACGGATTGTCTCTAAAATTAATGAAATCAAAAAAGTTTTACCGGTTCCACCGTGTGCATCAAGAAAATAAATCCTCCATCGCTATCACTTACTGCTTTCGTAATAGTTACATAAGCTGTTTTTGCTACCGATTTAAAAGTGAGACATTGCTTTGTATGGATTGACTTAAAACATTTATGACATTTTGTCGTTCTTGTTCAAATTCATGATTGATTGTATCGTAGATGGATCGATTGGCTCTAGGCATTCGTAATTCCCGCATCATCTTGCCGGACATTGAACACAAAACGTGTAACGATATCATACATCATACTGTCTTTGTATGTGTTCTACAAATTATGTGGATTTGATGGAAACCTGGTTGAAATAACGATGACAAAAAGTGATGAATTTGATACGAAGTACATGAAATAAGAGCATCAGCGCGTATATAATCTCAATTATTCTCATCCTCCAGTAATTTTAAACCTTGAAAGTACAATATTGATTCAATTAATTTTCAGAATTTTCTAAGAAATAGATTTGATTTGAAATTGTATTCACCATCAACTCCTAGCAACAATGCTCCTGCACGGTGGTAAATTGTCTTTGAATCTGATTGGATTTGTATATTAATATGTTATTCAATAACACAATAACAAATGTTCGGGATGTTAGTCTCGGTAATTTCACCTTTCCGTTCATGCATTACTAATCTTGTCGGGTTTAGCCAAAACCTCAAAGCATTGCAATATGGATAAATAGTATTCATTTTTCAAAAAACAACCGATTTTTTTCCAGCGTAAGCGATTGTTGCATCATATATAAACGCCAAAAGTTCATAGGTATGGGTTCTTCCTGGAAGCTGATTTATCTTACTTGAGAAAATATCATCCTATTTCGAAAACTCTACCCCTGACTTTGTTTACGCATATGTCGGCCGATATTTTGACGCTTTACTGATGGAATTTTTAACAATATACACCACCTAACTTCTAAACTCACATCCAATCACACAAATCACGATTTAACCTCTACATTATTATCAAAACAACGTCAACCGCGCCCAATACTTTTTTTCAATTTTAAAATGAGACGAACAAACGAAAACAATCAATCAATCAAATAACTTTTTCTGTTACTTAGTTATTTTTTATTGGGTTTCAGTGTTGATGCTTCCTTGTCACCAAAATCTGAATCAAATTTAAACACAATGAAAAAGAATTATTCAATTTTTTGCCGGCGTTCCGAAGTTATGCGGGAACATACATTACGCAAATTCATTTCTATATATAAGGTAATGAATAATGATTTAAATATTAATGTATATTTTGAAAGTTACTTCCTTCTTTCTTCCATCATTCAGAAAATATTTAGGGGAACTTTAAATTAAGCATATTTGGTAATAGAGTTGCCAACTATCAAAAAATTAGAATCTGAAAGAATTGCTAAATGTCTTCAAACTTATAGAGCATGCGTATACTATCCTTACAGAAACTATTCGGGCAGCCTTCACTTAGACATATTGTGGAATAGAGTTGCCATTAAGGATAACGGTGGTACCACTTGCATTAGAAAATTATTAGAAAAAGTATTTGAGTATCTGAAAAAGCTCAAGAAAGTACTCGATGAAAAAATATTTGGTCCCCAATTGAACTATATTTTACCAGTGTTGCTATCTGTATAAGAAATTTTATTATAAAATGTGTTTAAGTATAATACAAAGAGTTCAGAATGAGTCCAAGAAAGTATTCGGTAAAAACTTTGCTTATGTATGTATATTTATTTCGGAACATAGTTGCCACCTGACCAAAAAGGAAAACTCTATAAAGTATTAAACAATGTGTTTAAACGCAAATGGTTAAAGAATGCCTTCCGTAAATGCTTCAGAAATACGTTCATTTAAATATATTTAAAAAATGAGTTGCCATGAATAAGAATTTTTTTATAATTCTCTATCTACTATTTAAAAATTAGCTTTTTTAATATATTCATAATCAACAGAGTATTCTTTTTTTTTAGACGGTTCTACTCTTAAGAAACTATAAATTTGTATAATGCTTTAATAAATAAATTAGTTTTGTAATAAAATTCAATAAATTAAAAACAACATTATCAACCAAAGTTTGAGCTGTGAAATTCATTGTCAATAATAAAATATATTTCAATATTTAGATGTTACAATCCAATACAATATTTACACCACCGCTCGCAAATGAATTATTGTCTTTTAACAATGTTTTTATATTTTTTTATTCTTTAGTTTTATTGTTTTATATTGCAGCGCATTTTTGTCACATTCAATCACCGCGGCTCAGACTGCCGGTCTTTTATTTCGTCTTTCGCTTGTATCCATATGTTTGTTGTTCTTTTATTACCTCCATTACCGTTTTTATGGCTCACTGCCAGCAAAGCTTTACGTAGAAGTAGTTATTGCTCAGTAAAATTGATTTTTATGTTCTTGTACGACATCCATTTGGCTAAAAGTATTTGCAGTTCTTGTTCTTGTTTTTTCTTTTCGTTTTTCCTTTTCATTTTCGCAAATAACTCGAATACATGGAAACTTACTAAGGCAATTAATGGATTTTATTGCTATGCAAATTAAATGATCGTGATATATCTACCAGCAGTAGTTTTATTAATTTTATTGATAAACTTTTATTTAATATTCCATTTGAATTTTTCTTATTCGCGACTCACTGATCGCAGAACTCAATATTTATTGTTTTATAGAGTGCAATTTAAATTATTTTTAGTTAAAAGAGCTTTACTCTTTTGTTCATAACATTCCTCTAGTGATCCGTACGAAGACTAAACGGCTCAGACTAAGTAAGATTATCTTAGCGTAACTTCAGTAGTGTATATAAATTCTCCATCTCCCTTGATTCTTATTGAAATTGTATGCATTTTCAGAAAATTGTTCGTCGCTTCCATAAACCCAATAATTTTTAACGCATAATGAGAACCTAAAATTGCTTTGATTCAGTCCTTCATTGCATCTCTTCCATTAATTTATATAATAAGACTATTCCGCAATTGGAAGAAGTATAATTGTTGACATTGCTATGGAATAAAGATATAGATACAGAAAATAGTTTCTCCATAGTTCATCTAAAAGCGGAACCAGAAATCCGTTTCACACAGAAACATAGAAGATTACTGATTTTGTCTTTCGATAGTTAGGGAAGTCGTTATTTGAATAACTCTTATTCAAATCATTATTCAACACTCTAAACCATGATTTACGAGTATTAGTTATACGTGTGAGTATAACCGGTTATTTATTATTTGGTAAGGGTTCCATTTCAAGTCTCCAAGTATTCAATTAATTATTATTGGCATTTTATTTTGGTACAAAACAATTGATATATACAACATTAAGAATTTATATCCACTTGCAACTCAGAAACAAATTTTTTGATTTTTTTTTTCAAGAGTTTTATTTTAGATATGATTAAATAGATAATGTACATTTTGCAATGTAATGAGTTTTAAAAGCGGCAATTCGTTTCCATAAATTTCGGACTCCTTTGATTTCGAAGACGATTTAATCATTGGCTTGTTGATTACCAATACTTGTACCTCTTTGTAATAATATTTAATTCATCCGCTTCCTTTTTAATTACCACTGATATATAAAACATACATACATAATATACGTATTGTATTAAAATAAGAAATTAAATACTGAATAACAAAAGAAAATTTTGAATTTGTTTAGTTCGGATATTAAATTATTTTCCTGTGGTACATTGATTACCAGTTCGATTATTATTAATCTCAACTTTTGTTGGAGCAAGTTTACCATATGAAAATTTATTATATCTTCAGTTAATGAGATGCTTTAATACTTACATTAATAATGATAGTTAAAAGAGTTTTGTTTTAAATTTCTCCATTCAACACACAAAAGAAAAACCAAAATAATGCCTACGAAATGTGGATGCTCAATAATTTTGGGGCAAGTGCAAATGTCAACGAAAGCGCCACCCATTTCGTTTAGTTGATTTTTTTGTTTTTCTTTTTGTTTTTTTATTTCGTGGCTTTATCGTGAAAACATTCTTAACTTGTTAACGATGAATAATTTATTTATACATTTTTACAACGCCATACGCGTCTGCGCATGCGTTCACTGATCAAGTCGAAAGCTCATTTTCACTCCTTCGCATCGCTTCATTAGCAGCCGCATGTACACAAATGATTGTCTGACTTAATGTGCGGCGTGAGTGCATTCTCGTGACTATGTGTGTTGTGTTCTCGATTGTAAGCTCAATAAATTTCGAGATAAGCAGTTGTTAATTTTTAGAAAATTGATTGTTGAAAAGAGAAAGTTCTTGAGAAAATAAAAATAATAAAAACAACAAAGCGCATACAACAGAATGTAAATTGATAAAATAAAAATAATTTGGGGCAACGACAAATATAACAAGTAATGAAGGGTTAAGTTCGGATGTAACCGAACATTTTATACTCTCGCAAGGTCAAATGGTATACTCGTTTGAGATTTCTGAATTGGCTGATATTTTCGGTATAAGGTCAACTAAAGGCACTGGGGTCCACATATTTAGTACTTAGGGGCTTGAACAGTTTTGGTTCGATTTAGACAATTTTTGGCCGCAAGGTGGCATACTTTAATTGCATTATTCACGCACAGTTTTACCACGATATAATCATTGTTGCTTGATATGCATAGTGGAAAGTGAAAGAATCAGATGGAATTGAAAATGGTGTTATATGGGAAATAGGCGTGATTGTAGTCCGATTTCGCCCATTTTCGCACTATAACATAGAAATATGAAAATAACGTTATGTACCGAATTTGGTTACAATCGGTTAAGCAGATCCTAAGATATGGGTTTTCACCTAAAAGTGGGCTGTGCCACTCCCACTGTCTAATTTTGAACGCGGTTCCTATAAAGTCATCTAATACCATCCCAGAGATAAAATTTAATGTCTCTGGCGTCTTTAGTGCTTGATTTATCGCGCTTTTAGTAGTTTTTAACAGTACCGTTATATGGGGAGTGGGCGGAGTTGCCACCCGGTTTCAACTATTTTCACACCGTCAATAGAAGTGCTTAAAACATTTGCTTCCAGTGAATTTTGTTATTATAGCTTAAGCGGTTTAGGAGATATGCACATTAAACTTATTAGAGGCGGGACCACGCACACTTTTTAAAAAAAATTTTAACTGCAGATGCCCCTCCCTAATGTGATCCTGTGTATTAAATAACAGTCTTATATCTTATTGCGGAGCTTAGTTATGGCAATTTATTTGTTTTTGATTAATGGCGTTTTGTGGGCGTGGCAGTGGTCCGATTACGCCCATCTGCAATACCAACCGTCTCACGATGCCAAGAAACATGTCCACCAAGTTTCATAAATATATCTAAATTTTTCAAGTTAGAGCTTGCACGGACGGACAGACGGACAGACGGACGGACGGACAGACAGTCACCCGGATTTCAACTCGTCTCTTCATCCTGATCATTTATATATATATAACCCTATATCTAACTCGATTAGTTTTAGGTGATACAAACAACCGTTAGGTGAACAAAACTATTATACTCTGTAGCAACAGGTTGCGAGAGTATAAAAACCCCTAAGAGTTTTGGTTTACGAGTAAGGTAATTAATGCATTAGCTTTTTCTGAACTTTTAAGTATTTTTTTATGAATATATTTAATAAAATTATAACTTCCAATGACATTAAAAAAAAAACAATAATAAGGCATTACATAAAAATGTGGCTTGGAAAAAACAATAAAATTTTCTATTGAAATTATGTATACAAAAAGTTTCAGAGAATTCCAGTTAGTTCAATTGACGGCTGAGCGCTTGTTTACTTCTTAGCCGAAAAGTGGACGCAAAATGTCAACAACATAATTTATCACTCCCACATAACAACGGCAGCGGCATGTTTACAGCGACTTGCAACAAATGGAACCAGGTTCGCACGTACCTATATATATGCCAATGGGTGTACATATGCCTATTATATATTGCTTTTATGTATGCATAAATCTCTGTATATTATATTAGAAAAAAGGCGGCCAATCCAAATCTTTTTTTGGGTAGAAAAAGTGTCACTCCGAAATTCTTTAACAATTAAGAAT